TCATTGTGATATGATAAGAAACGATGCTGGGTTATTGTGGCGGGTACAGCAGTCCTCAATTCGTCGTGAATGTATCAGAGTTCACGGAGCTCATGTTGAACCCTCTTATGAAGTTTTTTGTTTCGAATTATCGTCCTTCAATTCAAGGTTTGCAACAATACGTTATATTATTTTTTTATGGTCCTTTTTATTAAAAATAAAACATGAATTCGTTTATTATTTTTTTTCTCGAAAACGGTTCATTTTATTGACAATAAACAGGAGTAACTTTATTTTAGTTTAAGGTTCATGCTACGCAAATTTAGTTTTTTTTAAGTCTTTATCATACGGGGTGTTCAAAATTTAAGCATTAAGGTGTAATACTTAGTCCGCCCCTGGTAAACAAAATAAGCAAAACATGTTTCAAGGACACTATTTTAAGAGATTTTTACCAGGGTCCATCATATTAATTTTTTATTAAATTATATTCAGTACTTTAAAAGTTATTCAAGGAAAACCAATTTGAAGGGGAGTCCTTTCGGGGCCCATGTCTCCGTAAGGAGGGCAAGTAGGAAATTTTTTTATAGGAACATATCATCTTATTTTTTCATATTTTATTTGAATCCGAGAGATTTCCCACATTTTCCCGGACACCCCTCCCTCCAACGCGCGATACAGTAGCTAAGCAAATAGCCTGCATCGCTAATGAGATTTTTGGCATTATTATCATTTAATTTTTTAAGTCGTCCTGCTCGACCTTTCGTCATGTCGTTTATCACACAAGCTACTGTGACGCGCCTTGGAGGGAGGCATATCATTTTACTCCTCTTTTGTAAAAAAACAAACCTTATTCTATCAGGGCTGTCAAATGTCAATTTGAAGGTTAATTTAAGGTTATTTTATAACCCAAAGCACAAGAAATGTAAACAATATTGTTCTTACCACTTTGAGGTCTCTTGCAAGTCTCTCTGTAAGAAACACAACGTTTAAAACGATTATTACAAACCCAAAGCACAAGAAATGTAAACAATAAAAATGGCCGCCATTGTATGATGTGCAGTGTTACAGTGATTTTTAGTATTTTAACTACGAGATCGAACAGACCTTGTTGTGTGGATTGTGACATTTCCTATCTTGTGCATTTGTTGGTTATTGAATATTCCTGTTAAATTAATTAATTATTTATTTGTGTATATTTGGTAAGTTTAAAATAGTTATTAAATATTTTTTTGTTGTCTTTGTCTGTCATACTTTCCTAGTATTGACACGGAATTTTAAACGTTTTCCATGTATAAATCTGTAAATAGCAAAGATACAATATTGACAACTTTTTCTCTCGCTGTCAGAATGACAAGACTAGTGATAACCGGAAGTAAGGATAGTTCTCCATAAGGGAAGTTTAGATTTTGATGTCAACACAATGATAGTCGTTAAAAATTCGGTGTCCGTCCCTACCTATTTTTTTGTAATTTATTTTGCAGCAGAAGACACATTTACAACGTTTTTGTATGTTTTTTAGTTAGTTTTGTAATATCTAATTTTCAATCAAGGAAAACAAACAGCACAGGTATACCTATGCTAAATGTATTTGTATATCCCATATCCATATATGGGACTTATTATTACTAAACACAAAATCGCTCACACCAAAAATATCAACGCTGTCCTCAAATAACTGGATTTTTTAGTAACCAATGGTTAATAACCATTCCCCAAACAGTTATCTTTATGTATTTTGTTGCTTTATTTTATCTAACAGGTATCATACCTTCGACATTAAAACATAAGTTTAATTAAAAAAATTTAAAATTAAATCTTGTGGCTAATTGCGCGCATTTTCGATATTAATCCAAAAAATATGTAAAACCCCATAAATTACAGGTTGTCTCCTGTGCATTTATAATGAGCGGCTACGTGTGGTGCATAACGAAAAAACGACATAAAAGGCGAAAAATTATTGTAACTTAAGTTAAAAATTGCTTTTATTCCTTATCCATTTACCGATTTCGGGATAATTTTATATAATTTGTGTTCGACTTTCATGTAGACGCTAAATGATATCCATTACGTCTGCATATAAAACAGAAATTATAATTTTGATGATGTGTATAAAAATTGCACTAATTTAATATGATGTCACAATTTGCGGAATTTAAACTTATTTATTATTTTATATTGAAATCCAAAAATACAGAAAATCGTAGACAAATATTCTAAACAAACAATAAATTGGAATGATAATTTAATTTAAATTTAAAGAACTCGCAATGTATTGTTTAAAAATGTACCCACAAAACACAAAAGTGTTATTTTAGTTCCATGGTGCATCAGGGTGTACCCTTACTTCCCCAGTAGTCATGCTAGGTAGCTTTTTATATCATTTTTTTTTATATTTTTAAATCAGACACATGTTCATAAAATAACTTGCATGTAAAAAGCAATATACGCACCTACATATACATTTAATAAATAAAAAATATATTAAATTAATAACAAGGTTAATTAAAATAGTTCTAAAAAACTATACCCCAGAGTTTTTTATTACGTAAAAGATGTTTTTTTTGTACTGAGACTAACACATGTTGATTATAACAATCAATGTGCCCAAAAAATACCAGTAGTAGAACTTTTATAATTTTATTCCATATTTCAAGTTTTGAATATAAGATTTACTGGGTGTTTTTGTAGTCTTTTTAATTATTCTCTAAATAGGACATTTTTAGATTTACAAAATAAAAATAACAAGCAGTTTACCTTGTAACAGCTATGTCGAGAGTAAAGGGTAGTGATATATGTTTAAGGTCTAAGGTCAAACGTTAAAGGTCAAGAGGTCGCCCCATATTATCTATATCACGTCGATCCGTTCTCCCTAGCTGCCATAAAGGCAACAGTTTTGCAAATATGTCGGAATTTTCGAGAATTTCATTTTATGATTGTTACATATTAATACAGGGTGTTCCACCCTAGTCTCGGTTGATTTTTTAGATTTTTATTAAAGTGCCGACCTTATTTTTTTTTTCGAAAAGGGTTATTTTATCTACTGTTATTTCATTTTGATAATTAATTCTATTCATTTTTATTATTGTATTGTTTAAAATAGACTCTAAATATACAGGGTTACCCGAAAATTTTGCACAAACAACATACCATTAAACAAAATTTTTAAATGAATTCAAATTCAAAAATTCAAATTTAAATTTTGTTTAAACTTACAGAAAATACATTTGTCAACCACATTAACCCCAGCTGAATTGTTGTCCATAGCAACCGTTTTTGGATGTTAACCGTTTTGTGCCTCGCATAGTGGGTTTTGCTCGATGAAACAGTATGAAATAAAGGTGAGTTTTTGACCTGGGAGAGACAAGATTGGAGTCCCGGTATAGAAAAATACCTGTATTTTTGACAATATCGCAAGGTTTCACCTTTTAGGGAGGTATTTTTTAATTTATAAATCAGATTGCGTGTATGTTCCAAGATTTAAAATTTCTTGTTGAAGTTGTCTAATGGCGGATGGATTTTTCTAAAGCCATAAGACAATAGTTAGAGCTAATTTGAAATAATACCAATTCTCTTAAAAGAGAGAATAAATACTTAAAAATAGTAAAGAAAAAGAAGATATCAACCGTGCGCATTAAAACATTTTGACCTTTGGATCTAGCACTAATCGATAATGGTATGCGATAACTTATCGCTGATAAGTTTGCCAGTGCATTTTTTATATTTATATTGTGCTCAGGCACTGACCAAGGCCACCTGAGCTACCTATAAAACCTTATTAATAAGTTTAGTTAATTAAATATATAAAAAACGCTCGGGCAAATTTTACGCATACCCTTTTCGATTGCTACTAGATCCGTGGTCAGAATTTTTTAATGTGAACCGTGCCAACCTATTAAACATACTTATTAAACCTAAGTATAATACTTGTTGTTAGAGGAAAGTTATATAATAATTATGGGGTATATTCCTAATATGGGTAGGCATGTATCTTTGCAACCAGACTAAATGCATCTATGTTTAATTGGACACAGCATACCTACTAGGCTTGTATGGATTTTTACTTAATATTAAAGCCATGTACCGATCAGCTGTTCTGTCTTTTATTTATACGTTTTAGGGGTGATTTAAGTTTTAGCTTGTTCTTATTAAAAACGATTTTTTTGCAAATACAAGGTAAGTCCTGGCTCTTTGTTATGTATAGACTAATAGTAGAACTGTTAATTTTTATTTTGTGCATATAGGTCTTTGTTACTATTTTTATTTAAACAGAAATATTTCATTATTTACTATTTGCCGAACGGGTCCTAATATGTGGACCAAAATATTCCTAATTAGGGGTAACTCATTATTATTGGTCATACGACGACATATGACTTCATTATTACCTGCGATTGTGTTGTTATAATTTTATTTGTTTAGTTGTTTAAAAAAAATCTATTAGACAACGTTTTAATGTGAATCTGTACATCATATTCAGTTTTTTTATAACTTATTTATAACTATGATTTTTATATCAATAAAATTTGAAAGTTGTAAATAACTTTTATTTTTATTTATTTTTTTTGTACTATACAATTGCACCAGATATTTTTTCAGGTAGGTTATACCAGGACCCCATATGGTGTAGACACAGAATTTTTAAATTATTGTTTTACACAAAAAATATAATTTTTGAAAGATTTTTTTTATCCAGTATTATCTTGCTTGCATATTAAAGAACCAACGTTGTTAAACTGAAAATAAAAAAAAACCAAATAAGGAAATTAATTACAAAAATTACTCCATAATAGGCGACTTTCCTTTAATTTTAATTATTTATATTATAAAAACTTTATATCATGGGTAAAGTCTAAAGGCAAAAAAATATGTTATTAAAATGTATCCATAAAAAGTTCTACCCAGACTTGTTTTTACAGCGTACTTTTTGTATCAGTCCGACATATGCTCATCATAAAAGACCGTAAAAAGCAAAGTACCCACACGCGTCGAAGAAATCTGTGGAGTGACAAAAAAACAAATATTCAAAGAAGAAGAAGAAGAAGAAGAAGAAGAATGAAGCACGAGCCCATCTTCAGCGTTAAGTGACCGTTGGGGCAGTTGAAGCGGTTTCGCGCGCGTCGCGCCCGATGAGGGTGGCACCTGTACACTGTGGAACACACAGAGCAGGTGCTCCTCTCTCCTCCTCCTTCGCTGCCACCAACACCTGCACCCTTACGACAACGACCAAACACCGACTTACTTTCACGCATACCGACTACATACTTACTTACGTGTACGCGTATTTACGCTACTTTGCATTTACCGCGGTTCGAATGAGATTCGTAACGTCTTGAATTTAAGCATCGAAAAATGTGTAAGCTTTTACAAGGTCCGGCATCTGGTAGTACCTATTAATAAAAATACATTATAAGTTTAAGAAATAATATAACCACCCACCTATATAGGTATACATACTTTTTATTGAGGATATAACAACGAATGTGCAATTTAAATTTTGTTAATTGCATTTTTAGACTTGCTATTCCCTAAAAAACGATATTTAATATACTAAAATGATAAGGTAAATGTCTCTATCATTGCAACCTTGTCATTTTAAATAATTACTCTTGAGTAAAAAGTAATAAAAATATATAATTTCCCCAACTCGTGATTTAACTTTTTTTCTACTTTTGGTTGGAATTTCTTGAAAACCAGTCTGCGCATATTGTTATGTGCTCTGCGCCGCAGTCTGCTTTGCGTGTTATTATCATAGGTTATATTAATAGCAAATTAGAAATAATTATTAGCGTTACAATTATTTCAAAATACTTGCCTATTTTAAAATAGAAACCTTTTAATGTTGAAGAACGGTAAATGTCTAAAACCTGACCAAATTTTAAAATTTGCCTGTACATAAAAAGCTATGTATACGTATATTATCTATTATATTATAAAAAATTGGTAAATTTTTTCCCGTATAAGGGTCCCTACCAGATTTTTAATACGGGGCCCCCTCGAGGCTAGCTACGCCACTGCTACTAGGCTTGTATGGTTTTCTATGTGAATCTGTACATCATATTCAGTTTTTTTATAACTTATTTATAACTTTGATTTTTATATCAATAAAATTTTAAAGTTTTATACAATTGCACCAGATATTTTTTTAGGTAGGTTATACCAGGACCCCATAATAGGCTACATGGTATCCTTATATGGTGAAGACACAGAATTTTTAAATTATTGTTTTACACAAAAAATATAATGTTTGAAAGATTTTCCCCAACTCGTGATTTAACTTTTTTTCTACTTTTGGTTGGAATTTCTAGAAAACCTAAGGATGCACAGTGGAACGAAATTCAAGAAACCTAACCAAAAGGCGTTAACTTTTTTAAGCAATTTACAGTATTTAGGGCCGGTTTATCAATATCTGGTTTAGTTCCAGTTAGTCTATCTGACAGTTAAATTCCATATCGATCGTTGTGAGAACAATGGTATCCATGGAGATTATCTGCCAGATAACTAACTGAAACTTTAACCGGACATTGATAAACCGGCCTTAGTGATGTTAATAAAGGATTTCTGGGTCCATTGTTTTGCTCAAACAATTATATTACCGTAAACACGGGTGGCTTTAGCTCACTTTCAAACTTAGTCTTAACATTTTTGTAGTTTTAACAATCATAAACATTAAATATTGTATACCAAAATTTGAGTCTTGAGTTGCTCCTTAATAATAACTATGTTATAATCTTACATAGGGCTGAGTTTCAAAAATAAAAATTAAAAACTGGGTGTGCAGTTACCCCCTGGTTGCGGGTTACTTTGTCTCACAGTGTATTTTCCGTATAAAATTAACTCAATATTTTATTTTATTTTTATTAGACATATGTTAGCATCGACATATAGCAATTGCAAGGGATTACCGATAAAAACAATAAAAAATCGACCTGTAGTTAACCAAGGATAATCATTCCAAAGAATTGCGCATAATATAGAAATTAAAACGCGTGTATTTTTAAGTTTTGCACTGATGCAATATATACAATTTTAAAGTGTAATAAACCCCCTTTATTTTTTTAAAACACTGATTTTCCTGTAATATAAACTCAATAGAATCGCTCAATTGACAGGTTTAGACCAACAAATTATAAATGTTAATTTTATCGAGCGCGAAAAGATTTTTCATAAAAGGGCTAAAGTCACCCGCGGGGTGCAAAGTCACCCGTGTTTACGGTACTACAAATATAATATAGCGCAAAGCCTCCGAGGAGACTTGCCTAAAAAATTGAACATATATGTTCAATATATTCAAAATATATTTTGAAATAGTTTTAAAATGTTTTAGTTTTGTAAGCGGATATATCTATAGAAAATTATAAGAGACTTAACAAATTTTTCGCATTTAACAATAAATACCGTGGTAAGAACGCGTATAAACATCCAAATTCTATTTAATAGTAATACAAATTATTTTTACGAAGCATAAAAATATATTGTTCTCCGGTGTTCTGTATTGAGCTTTTTGCAGACATTGTGGCCAGAACATCACCGAATCGATCTATGAAAAAACTAGCTGCCTTTACCTCTAAAATGTCCCATTTACATTTTACACGCTCTATATAAACTGTGCACCACTGTGTCGCGACCAAAAAGTTCGTTCTTTTTCAAAACGACATAACTTTTTTGTTTCTTGAACGATTTTATTTTGGTCTGTGATGTCCGCTAGCCTCATCCTCTGGTAATTCATGCTATAGATATGAAGCTCACGGTTCTTCAAGTAAATTTCCTACAGGGTGATATGTAAAACGGTGAAAAATTTCAATAACTTCATCGAAGCCACGTTTGTAAAAAAAATATTTTTTTCTCGTTTTTACTTTAAAATAATGAAGTATTTTATGTCTTACCTTGAAACTATTTTCAAATTTTTCGAATTGAAATCTTAGCAACAAAAATATGATTTTTTTTCAAAAGAGTACATTTGATGCTTTTTTGTAGACAATACAAATACAATACAAAGCCTTTTTAAGAACAAGAAGATAAGATGGTGAAAGATTGTTCGTTGAATACTTCTGAACAAGCGACAAGCAACAAACTTCCATTATTTTCAGAGGAACCTAAGCAAAGACCACTTTTTCAAAATGACATTTTGGTGAAAATTTGCGAAAACTAAACCTGAACCGATATTTACGTTCGTGACATATTTTCTTCATAATTTTGACCTGATTGTGATTCAGTTGTCAAATTTAAGTTATAGATAAAACCAAAATCACCAAGAATAAAAATTCGAAAACAATACCCGGCTGTATTTTAGTCTCAATAAAATCCGATTGCTGGTTTTAACTGTTTTTTTTTTACTGTGTTTTGCATCTTTAGTACGACATGGTGCTGAAGGTTCAAATGATGAAAATTAGTTCTTGAAAAAAAAACATTCAAAATGCATTATGAGGGATATTATTGTTTTTTTTTTCAGTTTGCTTGTGTTTTTCCAAATTTAGGTTTTTTGCCAACCCAACCCAACCCATCTTACCCAGGTTACTTCCATTCTTCCTTTAAATGATTGAAACGCCAATGCTAGACTTTGCTGCAGCTACAGGACTTCACATCTCCAAATCAACGGTTCGCAGGAGATTGCACGAAACGGGAGGCAAGGGTAGTTTTTGGAAGTGGAGGAGTGAGTTTGGGGTGGAATGGAAAGAGTGAATTGGTAATAAATGCTGAGAGATATAGAGATTTGTGTGTTAGTGATATCGTGGTCCCTTATGCTCAAAATGTTGCCAATAATTTGGTGTTGGTGGACGACAATGCCCGTCGGCACCGCGCCAATATCGTAAATGAGTATTTAAGGGACCACGATATTGAGAGAACGAATTGGCCACCTTTGTCTCCGGATATGAATCCTATTGAGCATGTGTGGAGCAGGATGAAACTGAATATGAAAGAGACGGAAGGTCGCATGGACAATTTTGATGAATTTGTAAATGCTATTCAGGAAGAATGGGATGCCATACCCCAGGAATTTCTAAGGAACTTCGTCGAGGGAATGCCCAGGATGGTTAACGAATTATTACGGGTTAGGGGAGGGCCAACGAAAAATTGAATGTTATTATTGTTATTGTTTGTTACAGTTTTCTGTTGAATGTTGTAGTTTTGATTATGATTATATCTTCGCATAAAATTTTCAAAAATGAACAAAAATATTTATATTTTACTTTATTACCAATTAGGTACATAGGTACTTATCAGTAATAAGTTATCACTAGTGCGCAATGTAAATGTAAGTTATGTAACATTATCGTAACCACTCAAAGAAATTGCAGTAATTTCGCCCAAAAAATAAATCCCTAAATGGCATTGGCAATGTTATTGAGATATTTAACAGCCGGGAATTATTTTCGAATTTTGATTCTTGTTTTATCTGAAACTTAAATTTGACAACTGGATCAGGAGGTCAAAATTATAAAGAAAACATGTCACGAACGTAAATATCAAAATGTCATTTTGAAAAAGTGGTCTTTGCTTAGGACCCTCTGAAAAGTTTGTTGCTTGTTCAGAATTATTCAAGGAACAATCTTTCACCGTCTTATCTTCTTGTTTTTAAAAAGATGGGTGTATTGCCTACAAAAAATCCTCAAATGTACTCTTTTGAAAAAAAAGATCATATTTTCGTTGCTAAGATTCCAATTCAAAAAATTTGAAAATCTTTTCAAGATAAGACATAATAATTTATTATTTTAAAGTAAAAACGAGAAAATATTTTTTTTACAAACGGGGCTTTGTTGAACTCACCGTTTTACATATAACCCTGTAGAAAATTTTCTTGAAGAACCTTGAGCTTCATATCTATAGCATTAATTGCCAGAGGATGGGGCTAGAAGACATCATAGATTAAAATAAAATTGTTCAAGAAACAAAAAGTTATATCGTTTTGAAAAAGGACAAAATTTTTCATCACGACACATTGAGTGGTGCGCAGTTTATATTAGCTTCACTAGTAACTATGTCCACAACTTCGATTGAGCTGAAATTTTGCACACACTTTTGATGCTAGGTACAATACAATCTATTATACTCAAAATTATGATTTATTAAAAATGGCCGCTGTTCCAAGATGACGGATTATTTTTTTTCACAGCCTATTTCTTTCCAACCTCCTTAACATTGGTATCAATACTATCAAATGGAAGGGTTTTTCAAGCAAAATACGTGATGCCATTCTTATACAAG